CCCTTTTGGTGAACACCTTCTCAACTGCCATCAAAACTAGGAGACCTTCCGTAATTCCTCTAGAATAGAATAAGTAAAACTCCCATTAATAAACTTTATAGTTTTATGGGTGGGATTAATGTAGAGTTTAAGGTATTAAGAGATGGCTGTAGCTCCCTGAAAGACCATCTCCTGGATTTGGAATTGTTGTGGCATGATCAATTCTAAGACCCATGGAGCTAATTGAGATGAATTATGAGCCTTTATTAGCCGGCTGGCGACTGACTTTCTACCAAGCAGGGTTTGAGGAGATCAGTCCGTCCCCCCGCCCCCGACTTCCCGAGCTCCCAAAAGAGGCAGCTTATAAAGCCTAGAATCACAGCCTGGTTTAACATCAAACAAGCAAACAGATTAACCACACCCTAGTTAACATCAAACAAGCAAGCAGATCATAGAAGCAGAAGTTGGTCGTTAGCATATCTTTGCCCAGAACCACACCCTTAACAGAATGAGAATAGGAACAGTAGAGACCAAGTGCTCAACCAATTCAATTTGTATGCATAATAGGATCCATCCAAACTCAAAGACACACACACACACACAAAATTAATGCACAGTGCTTAAGGCAAATTTGTATTGATTTTAATCAAGTGATTAAAAGATGAAAAGCTGCGCTTTTATTCTTCTTGTCAAAGCTGACGGTCCCAGATCATCAGTAATGCTGATTTGTTTTTCTCATTCATAAAGTTCTGCCTGCTCTGTATTTATGGAGGGAATGCGGGTTAGTTTGGTGTGAGGCATTTTATGGACTCAAGCAGTGGTTTTGAAGCTTTTCTCCTTTTATGTCACAAGAACAGATACTTCACGGAAGGTGAGATTTGTTTCTAGAGCCCAGAACAGTGCCTGACTCACAGTAGGCATAAGATTGCCAGATAAAGCAAATAAAAATACAAGATGCCCAATTAAATTTGATTTTCAAATAAACAATAAACATTTTAAGTGTAAATATGCCCCTTGTACTATTTGACACATACATATTATGCGGTTGATTATCTGAAATTCAAATTTAACTGGACGTCCTGTATTTCATCAACCCTAAGGAGCTCCAATAAATATTTGATGACTTAATTGATCGAATGGCTTCCTCTCACCTGAAACGTGGGGCTAATGGTAAGACCCGCCTCCGGGGTTGATGGGAGGAATATATGAAGCGCCTAGCTTTGAGCCCTCAATTTATTTGACTGCTCGAGAGCTATCCAGAAAGTAAAAATTGCTCCCACTTTTACACATTAAAAGGATAAGAAAGCTTTCTCCCGGCCAGAGGATCCCACGCCAGGCCTAGGTTGCCCACACCTGCGGGTTCGGCCAGCCTCTTCCGGGTCAGGTGACCGCGGGTGGGCACGTGACCCCGCCCGAGTGCCGGCGGTGGAAGGCGGAAGTGGGAGAGGAGTTGGGCGCCGCTTCTGTGGCCGGGGCAGGTAGCGAGCACCGGTGCGGAGGGCGCGGCGGACGAGCTGAGGTAGCGGCGCGAGCCAGA